AAAACTAACTAATGAATCTAGAATGTGAAAAAAAAAGATGTCCACATAAATAATATGTAATTAAATACATGTGAAAATTTATTGCATTGAAAACACAAAAACGAATCTTGTTCACATAAATCATATATGATTAAATATATATAATCATATTTGATTAAACAAACAAGAACATTATTGAAATGAAAATGTGGAAAAATAGTTTTTCCACATAAATCATATGTGCTTAAATACATATAATTGCATGTGATTATGAATAAGAGAACAACTATTGAATGTAGAACACAAAAATAAACCCTATTCATATAAATCATATGTGACAAATACACATGTGATTATAGGTATCTAATCACATACAATTTATATGGATAACGTTTATTTTCATGTTCTCGATTCAATAGTTATTCTTGTTTATTTAATCACATGTGATTATATATATCTAATGACATATGCTTTATATGGAAAATATTCATTTTCACGTTCTCGATTAAATACTTGTTCTCATATATTTAATCACATGTGATTATATGTATTTAATCACATTTCATTATATGTATTTAATCATATATGTTTTGTGTACACAAGATTCAATTTTGCATTCACGGTTCAATAGTTACTCTTTGTCCACATTAGTTATATGTGATTAAATACATCTAATAATATATATATTATTATATCTATCTAATAACATATGATTTATATGGACAAAACGAATCTTGTCCATATAAATCACATGTATTTAAATGCATATAATCACATGTGATTATATACATGAGAATATTTATGAAAAAATTGTCGAAAAGAGGATGGCATCTGAATATTATGTTCTTTTGTGTGTGTGCGTCTCTCTCTCTCTCTCTCTCTATATATATATATATATATATATATATATATATATATATATACTATCTTATAAAAGAAATCTTACTATTTCTATAAATAGATTCAATATAATAATAATATTATTTTTTAAGACGTTCAAATCATTAAGCTAATGGTACAAGTAGCCATCAATAAAGTAATATTAAATTTTAAACTTAACAATCTAACAACTCTTATCATACCTACCTTGACCTGACTTTTTATCTCTGACGTTTCCATTTGAATTCTCACATAATCCTCGAATTTGTTGATAGAATGCCTAGAAAACATCGTAAAATAGCCGCATATATATTATGTCAACCTGTAAATCATCTACAAATCGGGAGAAAACCTAAAAACACAATCACCGACATCACCAAATGGCCTGCCCACACCACCGCCACTCCATCAGACCACCATCTCACCACAATCTCTCTACCAATGCACAACTTAAAACCCTAACTTAGAGCTCATCGCTGCACACCTGCTAGAAGAAGCCGAACTCCATTTGGGATTGATTTTAGGTTTGGAATGTCACTCTCTGATTTGTTTTTGGCAAGGAACAGGTAATCTGTGTTTATTGTCACCTCCTTTCTCACACAAGAAATCCCTAACGGATCAACAATAACCACTATGTGTTTGTTTGTGACTACAGGCTTGAGTCTCGATCGTCTCCTCGTACCAATTTATATCTAGGCAAAAGGAATCGAATCTTGGATATCACTCCTCCGTCGATCTCAAAACACTTCAATATGTGGTAGCCTTTGGCGGATCAGCACTTGGCTTTTTATCTTACCAGGTAAACAAAACTTAGAAATTAGGATCTGTTTCATAAATAACCTGGATTTGACCACAATTTTTATTTTTTCTTAAGTTTTTCGAGTTCTAGCACTTTTGATTTTTTTTTTTTGGTTTCATATTTAATGTTACTTTTTAGTACTTTATTATGCTTATTACTGCCCAAACATATTAGAATTGCAGCCAAGATATTCTATTGATTCTTAGGATTTCAAAATTGGAGTTGCACGCAAGAAGGTTGTGGAGAAGAAAACCTTTTTATATCTACTTTCAAGAACACCCACTACCCCACCGCAATTAAAAACTTTTTACCTTGTAAGATGTCCGATTTTTACACTTCTATTAAAAAGTTTAATACTTATTTGGAATTTCTTTGCAGGGTTATAGGGTTCAAATATTGATTATGAAGTAGGCATCCATCGCCATTAGTCTTCTTCGATCTTTAGTACGCACCCTAAGAACTCCACCTCTTGTGGTAGCAATATACAAGTTATTTTCCCATGGTTTGTCATTCCCTTTTCCTTTACCATTTTTTCATATGGGTCGTCTTTAACTTGCATGTATTTTGTTTCTCCACACCTGCAAACAATCTTTGCTTTTGTTTTTTATTGCAGATGTCATTCTTTCTTCATCATAGTATGTGTTACATGTAAGTATGATTATGTAGTTTCAGAATTTTGAAATCTGAATCCCATCTCTCTCTAAATCTACTATGTGCGTCTGTGTGTTAACTTTGTGTGTGTGTGTGTGTCGATTTCAGATATCCAGATACCATCTTCATTGTTTTTTAATCTGTTTAGTTTAATTTTTATCTGGATTTGCAGGTACAATTGGGACTACATTATCATGGACCTCATGGTTATTTTGTTGAAGAAAATAAATATATGTAACTTGCAGAAGGAGGAGCAACAAAACTTGTCAGTGAATGGTAATGTGCAACCAGATCTACTGAGGTTTATTTGGAATCAATAATTTGTGTTTTGTTGAGTTGCAATTTAAATTCATTGTAAACTGGGTTGTGTCATTTATTTACTCCTTGAGCCTTTAGTTATAAAGGTTCGTGGCTACATTTGATTATAAGAGCTTTTCTTATTGAATCTTTTTATTCCTTTTCAGGTGGGTTTGGTATAAATTTGGGGGAGGGTATAATGTGACTTTGGTGTCATCCATTCTTTGGTATAGTCTCACATAGGACTTGCCAGTAGTCCACCCTAAATACATCCCTCAACTTTTTAATATCTAAAAACACTTTTGACAGTCAATATAATATAGTAAATCCATCAGATATGTGTGTGTGCTCAATGTTGAGGGATTTGCAACATATTCTCTGGTGAAGATGGTCCAAAATGTTCACTTTGGTACACTAGAGATGCACAAACACCAGTTTAAACTGGTCACAGTTTTTTTTTAATAAAAAATCGGTTTGGTTTTTTAGTTTTTTTTTTTTGGAATTGAATGTTTGTTGAAGAATCATTTTTTTTGGTTAAAAAACACATTTTCGGTGAACCAGTTTTCAGTTTCTCAAAACCGGTTCTCAACATAACTGGTTCGTTTTTTTCCCGCCAGGTTAAAAAAAATCAGTTCGCTTTGTGCACCTCTACTTTACATGAATACTTTCTTGCTAAAATTGGAAGCAATCTGTCATAAAAGTTTAAGATTAACTTTTTTTTCTTTTTAATTTGGCTATTTCTCCACCCCCCCCCCCCCCTCCTCTTGTTGTTTAATGGTTAAAAAGAAAAAGAACAATACATCCTTTATTTAGTTGCCTTTGCAGGTGTACCTCAGGATGAAATATGTTAAGTTGTTTGCTTCTTGAGATTATCCAATGCCAACAATTTTGGTAAGTTATTTGCATTTTCATAATTTTTTTCATCCAATCATGCAAATTTGCACTTTTGAAGGGTAAAATTGTCAATTTAATTTTCTTTGGTTTTTATCAGGAATTTCAAAATATGTCTTTTCAGGAAAAAGTATTAGACCTTGTAGTGTAAGATGAAAAGGGGCAAGCTGATCTTATCTGATTTCCAAAAATTAGTGTTCATAATCTACCACATGTAGATGCACAAATTAATTCAGAAGAACGTCATGTGATGCAATAGCCAAGAATCAATATGTTTTTCGAAAGAGACCGAGAATCAATATGTTCTATATACATCTAGCCAATGAGCTTTTCCATAAAACCATTTGTTAAAATAATGTATTCAAGTAAATTCAAAAGATTAAGCATATGTTTTGTTTTGGCAGGTGTATTAGTAAATGACAAAATAAACAAGACAATTTATGTTTGATGTATTTGTAGTAGTACATGATCAACTTCGTATATTATTATACATATAACATATTGATTTATTCCAAAACAACATTGTTTTATTCCAAAACATCATAACTTTTTATTTTTAACCCAAAAAATGGTACTTTTTAAACCAAAACGATTAAACACATTTACATTTAACCTAAAACAACATAAATATTTTTAATTTTAACCAAAAAATGAAAGGAAACCAAGTAGTTGTTTTTAAGGTATATGTAATCGTAATCAATGAAGAGAAACAATTAGACAAAACGAGAATATTCAATGTACGTTGAAAAGAATTAGTCACAACAATTTGTTGGCCTAAACCTATCGTCGGAATGATCTATTTGTCGCCCCCGCTGCTTTGCGCAGGTACACTGCTAGTATATATATATATATATATATATATATATATATATATATATATATGTGTGTGTGTGTGTGTGTGTGTTAAGTTCAAATGAGAACACTATTTAATGTGAGAACGTGAGAACACTACTTTATGTTACTAGTTTACTATGAATTTAACATGTATAGTATTGTAATATATATATATATATATATATATATATATATATATATATATATATATATATATATATATATATATATATATTAAAATTCTCCATCCTTAGCTATAGTAAATTTTGTAAGGATTTGTAAAAAATGATCCTTCTTTTAAGGTTGCCTGTCTACTCTTGGCTTTCTTTTCCGTTTTTGTTTTTTGTGCACTTTTTGCTATTTAATCGATTTTTTGTTGCTACGTGTTTCACGTCTGTACTCTTCACTGTTTTCCCACCCAATCACTTTTCGACTGTTGGCGTTCTTCCGGATCCTTTCCACCGCCTTTCTTACATCCCGGTTTTGAATTGGCTGGATGGATTGGAGGCGTCTTGCCATTCGTACCCTTTCTCCTTGCACCGTCCCTTCAAAGAGTCGATGTTTTCTTCGGAGCCTCCAGCACCTCCCCGCCCTTCTGCTAACGACATACACCTGCATCGCTGACCTTCGCCAGCTTCAACCACCATCATCCCCATCGCTGCTGCCTGGAAATCCGCCAAATCGATCTACCCTCCACCAACGATCGCCCAAATCCACTCTCCTCCGTACCCAACCGATCATCAACCATCCGAGCCCGTCGTCCCACCGACGGAGACGAGGTCGAAGATCGCACCGCCCCCACGCCCACTTGGCTTCATTATCGACCAAATGTGTGCTTATTCTATCATCCACCGTACCTTCACCCTGGGTTAACACCGATGGACCACCTTACTCTTATCTTAATGACTCCATCTATTGGTTCCTTATCCAAATGAGTTCGACTGTTTGCCCTTCATCTGCTTCGTTCTTCGCTCTTGATTTCTACCATATTTCTTCGACAACATCCTCCAGCAACCAGAGATTAGGGTTAGATTTTCGCTTCAGCAGACATTTTCCAATCAACCACCGGGATATTTGTTGCCATCCTCTGTCCTTTGTTTCTAGGATGGACTTGCTACTGCTATCACGAATTAGGGTTTATATTTTTTCTGTTTTGTCGCGTCCTTTTGATGGGTTCTTTCAATGTGAGGCATCCATGGAGGGTGTGTTATGGAGGCATCCATGCAGAAAAAAGGCAACGGAGTCTCAGCTTGCAGAATGGTACTAAATAACTGGTGTACGTCACTATGAGAGGTTGGGCAGGAGGGTGGTAATGGACTCTTTCAATGTGATTTCTGGAAAGGTTATCTTTTTTTTTTTTAAAGTTTAACTTCATACAATCTTGCTTTGAGTGTATTATTTGCTTTAACGCATCACTTACGAAAGCATTTCCAACCAAATGCCTTCTGGAACAAGCTTTTGATTAAGGGGCAAAATTGAACCAAAAAATAAGGCAGGGGCAAATTTGTCCGACGGAACCCATAAACAACTAGGGGAAAAGAGTACTATGTCAAAAAACAGTTTTGAAAGTTGGTTGTATTTCTTGTATTTGGAAAGATAGCCCTCGAAAGCTGAAGTGAGCATTATATCAAAAAACAAGTTTACCCTTTTAGCAAAATTATGAAAAACAACTGCATGTGGAGATGGACGATGAAGAGTTCTTCCTATTCACTCCCATTTTGAGATAAATCAACCAAGGTTAGGGATATCACTCAACACGGTGGCTTTATTATTATATGTACATAGTAACATAGCCTCATTTTAAAATCCTGTTTGAAAAATCAATAACATTTTTTAAATATCCTTTTTGTTTCATGTAAAGTAATCTTTGTAACAGCCCAAAGCCAACAAACTTTTAAACAAATTCATTTATTTCATGTAAAGTCAAAAGTGTCATGTGGTCGTGGATATTTCTTTCCTAGAGTTTTTTGTATCTCTCAAAAATTGCTTTTTATTTCAACATGAGAAACTATCATTGTTATTGATCACTTAGGGTTGTTGGCTTTTGTAGTGGCATCATTGATTTAATCAACAAGAGCACTGGAATGCATAAATAGGAACAACCTGTTTAGCTCCAATTCTTCAAAAATATTGAATTAATGTAAACTCTTTTTTAAAACTTTGCGCCAATGAGTAATATTTATATCACTCTTATAATTTTTTTTTTTTTAATCTTTTTTCATAAAGTTATAATGATTGATTAAAAAATTTACAGGTTAAGGTGTTGGGAAAGAAGGGGAATTCGTACTCTCAAATTATCAATACAAGTTTGATGAACTCTATGTTCAAAAATGCATGCTACTACAAAGAAATAACTAAGCATTATTGGAGGTAATACAGTAAGGGGCGAGTACGAGGACTTGAACTGCAATTAACTCTATCATGCAGCCAAGAATAATTTTACTGATTAGAGATGGAATTTGGAAAATGGGAAGTACCACTTGCTGAGAAAAATTGAATGGTTAGTGAGGCCTTCGACTTTAAAAGAAATAGACATGTGCTTCGTTGAATTTATTTAAGTTTAGAGTTCTTAAAAATTAATGAATTGAAGCAGACGGAGACACGGGCAAAATTGTCATTTATATGCAGAGCTCAACACGTATAAATAGCAGGTATACATGACATATGAAAATCAATTTTATTTGAATTTGATTTACTGTTTATTTTTTATATTACATAAAAGTAGTTGACGTAACAATATTTTGAGAAGAGAGCTTCCTGATAGTAATAATTTCATGCCCAAGTGACATTAAAGAAGTCGAAGGATGATTGGGTGTAAAATTGGGAAAAGATGTGTTCACACAATTGGCAAGATGGGAACTCTAGCAATAGGAATTTTTTGGCTTTTCTTGCATTTGCACTCTCTTCTCTCATATTTGGTTATAATCTTTATCCCCAAAGATCTCGTAGATCTTTGATTTCTCTAAATTTAAATTGTAAAGAGGTTATATAAGGCAAGAGTTATCTTAAAGAAAATAATACAACTAGTTCTTGCTAAAGTTTGTAACCTTTTTAAATTAGAAATGTAGGAGCTCCTGTTCTTTTTAGAACAACATCCGACCTTCAATCCAATAAAATATCTCATTGTGCTGATACGTTATTTGCCAGATATCCATCTATAAATTTTGTCAACGTACGATTATCGAGAAATGTTGGAATCCTCTATCCGGAATCCAGATGTTGAATGGCGAAATCATAAATATCCATGTGCACAATTACGATTTGGGTTACTTGAAGTGGGGAATCCTAAATCACCTACCTCCAGTCCCACCGCTTCAAATCCATAATATGATAACAAACTTTACCATATTAATCCATGAAAATGTGTTTTTTTAAACGTATTTATTTTTATATATAATTTTATGTGCATATTTTTCTTTTAGGAAACAGCTACAAACTGCCTTTTGATCAGTTACAGCCAGAGGCACACACAATATATTAATATGATTGTTGATTTCAAATTCAATGGAACTGCAGGAACTTGCTTTTACTTCTTCATCATTTGTATTAGATAGGTTTGAGTGTTGTTTATTCAAGTACAAGTAATATGTTATTTCTGCATTTAATTTTTAGTTAAATACAAGAAATACCAACCTACTTTCAAAACTACGTTTATTGTTTCATCCTCCTGTTAGAATATTATACTTCAACATTGATTCCAATCCACATGCACCATTCGATTCACACAACATCGTTTCCGACCAGCGCAACGCGCTGGAACGCATCTAGTTATAATATAAGTATATTCAATTTTATATTGCTATTCTACTATAAAAAGTATATATATATATATATATATAATATATATATATATATATATATATATATATATATATAGTAAATTCTAATGTGAATGTTAAATATGTGATTGTTCAAATATTCAGTGATGAATAATATCATAAAGTTGTACATGCAAAATTTTAATGTGAATATTAATGTCTGATTATTCGCATATTTGTTAATGAATAATTTCATATCGTTGTATATACAAAATTCATAGTAGAATAGTAACATAAAATAGTGTTCTCACGTTATCATATTAAATAGTGTTCTCATTATATATATATATATATATATATATATATATATATATATATATATATATATATATATATAAGGTAGGTTCCTGTGAGACGACTTAATTCTGTAAGACCGTGAGATGCAATCTTGACAATTTATTTGGTTGATAAAACAAAAAATATTTTTAAAATGTAAAATAATTGAAAATTATTGAATTTTTTTTTCAAATATTATTTTCGGAATTTATATTTTCAAACTAAAATTTTAAAAAAAAATTACATTTTATTACATATTCTAGTTGAATAAATAGAATATTTTACATATCTGAGAAATTTAGTATAATATTCTAACATTCCAAAAATCACATTAGAATTTTACAGTGTAATATTTTATTAGAATACTTCACGTATTTAAAAAAAATGGTAAATTTTATTTCTTTATTTATTTATTATTATTTTTAGGTAATTAAAGTTGTGAAAATATTATATATATATATATATATATATATATACACACACACACACGCACACAAAGAATTTTACAGTGTAATATTTTATTAGAATATTTCACGTATATATATATATATATATATATATATATATATATATATATATATATATGTTCAGGTTCATTTGAGACCATTCTAATTTTGTGAAACCGTTAGATCAAATCTAAAAGTAATTTTAAAATGCAAAATAAATGGAAAAATCCAAAAATTCTTTTTTTAAATATTATTTTCGGAATTTGAATTAACTAAAAAAATATAAAAAAAATTAAAAAAATTCCGTTTTTTTTTTGAAAAATACGTGAAATATTCTAAATAGAATATTACACTGACATATTCTAAAAAATAATTTTAAAATGCAAAATAAATGGAAAAATCTAAAAATTCTTTTTTTAAATATTATTTTCGGAACTTGAATTAACTAAAAAAAATATAAAAAAAATTGTATTTTTTTTTGAAAAATACGTGAAATATTCTAAATAGAATATTACACTGTACATATTTTAAAAATAATTTTAAAATGCAAAATAAATGGAAAAATCAAAAAATTCTTTTTTTAAATATTATTTTCGGAACATGAATTAACTAGAAAAAAATAAAAAAAAAATAAAAAAATGCGTCTCACGGTCTCACAAAATATAGGTGGTCTCAAATGAACCTAACCCTATATATATATATATATATATATATATATATATATATATATATATATATATATATATATGCGCGCACAAAGAAGTCTATATATATCCTTGATATTGAAGAAATTAAACTCTTGCGCGCAAGAAAGTTTTGAAGTCAAGAAAATGTATTACAAACTCCTGGCTCTCTTTTGTTTCGTGTTTTTTATTACAAGCATTTTCGCTGCTGTAACAGAAGAATTTAAGACATCCATGACAGCAGAAGGTATGTGTAGAGATCACTATATTTATAAATTTTGTATTCTCACACAACTTCAAACAAAATCCAGTATAATCATTAAACTGCTTTCTTTGCTAAGTGCATGTAGCCTCATGGCGCAGGAAGATCCTCACTGATCCATGGTTATATCAACCGCCGGGACCGGGTGACGACCACAATCGGCATTAAGGTTTTAATCCGGAGACATGATGATTATTAAGCGCCAAATATTTACATGATAATTTTTAGGTCCCTAATTTTTATTACCTTTTACGAAGACTAATTTGAAATCTGGTTGGCATCAATGTAACTAAATTTTATTGTCTACGTGACAGTGTTCTATATGTATATCGTTGTTCAATAGTAAGAGGGTGTAATTGTTACATTTTTCTACAATTGTAATTTAATGCGTTTGTTGTCTAATTCTTATATTATTATTGTTTGTTCTAAAAATTAGTTTTTGATTGTTGTTTTGATTCCAGATTGGAACAAAGAAATTGTTTTTACATCGTAATTAGTATGAAGCAACGAGTTAGAAGTATTGACTTTGTTTGAAATTCTTGTAGAGTGTTTATCTATATCATTACACAAGATAAGAATGAAATACATATATTCTTTTTTCAAATGAAAAATACATTACGACCATAAATGTTCACATTGATATGGTTGAGGTTCTTGTTGAAAACATTTTCTTGCTGTTGTGAAAAGAATATCATGAATAATATTCCCATTGGACAAAAATGAATGCCGTGTGTACAACTATTTTTCTAGGAAACTTGCCGGAAAATTCACTAGCGTTGGAAGATGTTTGTAAAAATGGTCCTGCATGGTTATACAAAAATGCCACTTTAGTCCAAAAAACTTTAGATTAGCTCCATCGGTCCAAAATAAGTTTTCTGTAGCGAGTTAGGTTCAAATTTTTAAAAAAATACTTAAAATAATGCATTTGTCATTTTTATTTTTATTTTTACTTTCATTACAATAATTAAAAAATAAAAAAGAACAACTAAAATACACCCTACCCCATTCTTTTTCTTCTTCTTCTTCTTCTCCTCTCTCTCTTTCTCTCTCTCTCTCTCTCTCTCTCTCTCTCTCTCTCTCTTTTACAATATATATATATATATATATATATATATATATATATATATATATATATATATATATATAGACACACACACACACAAAAGAACATAATATTCAGATACCATCCTCTTTTGGAGCAACCAGCCTCTCATTGGAGCCATCACCCACTCGCTGGAGCACTTTCCCTTCTCAATTAAGCCTCTTGTAAGACCACTAACCGGTGAAGCACCCCCCCCCCCCCCCTTTCTTAGATACGTAAATCCTGACTCTGATTGATATAGAACACCCTTCTTACTGGCGGCAAACATAACAATACAGAAGGACAACAAGACTGGTTGGACGTTGACGAAGGAGTTTAGGGTTATTAGACCCAAGTCTTCAGAGGTGGTTCGAACAGTTGGTGGTCTGAACTCCGTAGAATAGGTGGTGGTCTGACAAACATAACAGGAAGCCACCATTGTTTAACGAAAGAGAGCTTACCGTTTGCAGATCTGAACTCCGACGATCAAATACCATAAATTTGAATTCCTATGTGACAAAAGTTTTGAAATAGATGATTCGAATATAATTACTTTTAATTATCATATCACTAGAAAAATCATTTATCAATTGAATATATTACATTTAAAACATGTTTAAATAAATATTAACATGCGTTTATAATATAATATTACAATTAACATATATTGTGTATAAAATATCACTATACAAATAGTTATAAAAAAAGTATAAAATTCAAAGCTGAAAGTCATATTATTGTATCCTTTGTTTTTTTAACCTAACAAAAAGATTTTAAATACTAGCAAGTTTATTATCTTTAAAGATATCTTTTGAAGTTGAATTGTAAGATATTAATTACCTTAAATTTGTCACTCATATCATGGTTATATAATTTATTTTGTGAACCAAAAGCTTAAACCCGAATTTGAATATATTTGGAGAAAATGAATCTTGTTTATATAAATCATATAAGATTAGATACACATAATCACATCTGATTATTTACACGAGAACAACTATTGAATTAACGACATGAAAACTAATCTTTTCCACATAAATCATATGTGATTAAACACATATATTCACATGTCATTAAATACACAAGACCATTATTGAATTGAAACCACGAAAATAAATAATATGCATATAAATCAAATGTGATTAAATACATATAATCACATGTGATTAAATACATATAATCACATGTGACTAAATACACTAGTCTAATTATTGAATCAAAAACGCGAAAATAAATATTGTCCACATAAATCATATGTGATTAAGTACATATAATCACTTGTGATTAAATACATGAGACCAACTATTGAATCAAAAATGCGAAAATAAATATTTTCCAAATAAATCATATATGATTAAATACATATCATTACATGTGATTATATGTATCCAATCAAATGTGATTTATGTGAACAATATTCATTTTCTCGTTCTTGATGTCCATATAAATCATATGTGATTAAATACATATAATCACATGTGATTATATGTATCTAATCAAATATCATTTATGTGGACAATAGTCATTTTCTCGTTCTCGATGTCCACATAAATCATATGTGATTAAATACATATAATCACATGTGATTACAAGTATCCAATCAAATATGATTTATGTGGACAATAGTCATTTTCTGATTCTCAATTCAATAATTGTTCTTTGTCCATTTTAATCATATATGATTAAATACATTTAATCACATGTGATTATATGAATCTATTTAAAGAACACTAATCTTGTTTATATAAATCACATGTGATTAGATACATATAATCACATGTGATTCTATA